GGGGGGAGCAAAGCAGCAGGACTGTGAGGGTGCAGATCTTGCAGGGAGAAGTGTGGGGAGCGGGCAGTGGGGTGCAGACCCTGGGAGGGAGCAAAGCAGCAGGACTGTGAGGGTGCAGATCTTGCAGGGAGAAGTGTGGGGAGCGGGCAGTGGGGTGCAGACCCTGGGGGGAGCAAAGCAGCAGGACTGTGAGGGTGCAGATCTTGCAGGGAGAAGTGTGGGGAGTGGGCAGAGGGGTGCAGACCCTGGGGGGAGCAAAGCAGCAGGACTGGGGGGTACAGACCCTGGGGAGGAGGTGATGGATCTGGGCAGGGAATGTGGCTTTGGGGCAGAGGGGTGCAGACCCCTGGGGGGAGCAAAGCAGCAGGACTGGGGGGTACAGACCCTGGGGAGGAGGTGATGGATCTGGGCAGGGAATGTGGCTTGGACAGGGTGACCTGAGATTTTGCCCCCCAGGTCAAGCAGTACCAGGAGTCCCTGCAGCAGCTGGAGGTGGTGACCCAGGAGAAGCGGGGACTGCAGGAGGCACTGAGACGGAGCAGTGAGGACTGTGCCAAGCAGGTGCCATGGACAGCTGCCCCTCCCCCAGCCCCGTAGTCCCTTTCCCCTGGCCAGGCTGGCTTGTGCTGATGGCTGAGTCTCCCCCAGGTGCTGGTGCTGCTGGATCAGATCCAGAACTCGGAGCAGCTGCTGCAGAACCTGCAGGCGACCGTGTGGCAGACCCAGCACCGGACCCAGGAGCAGATAGTGAGCAGGGGGTGCCTGGGAGGGCCGGGATCCATGGTGGGGCACTGGGGAAGGCCATGAGTTGGGGCCTGGTCCAATCTCTGCTCATCCCCCCAGGCTGACCTGGCATCATCCCACAAGCGGCTGAGCTACGAGGTGCAGCGGCTGAGCGAGGAGAATGAAGGCCTGCGGGGCTCCCGTGCCCCCCTGACGCCCACGGAGCAGCCCTCGCTGCCCAGCTCTGTGCAGGTACCTGGTGGGGATTCCAGGCCGTCTCCCTGACCTGCCCGGGGCCATTGGGTGCACCCTCTGCCCCTGCAGTCCCCCCACAAGTTGGAGGGGGTAGTAGGAGTGTATATGGAATGTGAGTCTCAACCCCAGGAGCTGCAGGCACTGGTGTGGTGGCGGGGGGTATGAATGGGTGCCAGGGTACAGCTGGGCGGGGAGGGGAGCAGCTGAGCACAGTGGGGGTGGAGGTACAGCTCGCTCTCCCCCCCAGGAGCTGCAGGCACTGGTGTGGTGGCGGGGGGTATGAATGGGTGCCAGGGTACAGCTGGGCGGGGAGGGGAGCAGCTGAGCACAGTGGGGGTGGAGGTACAGCTCGCTCTCCCCCCCAGGAGCTGCAGGCACTGGTGCGGTGGCGGGGGGGTATGTATGGCGCCAGGATACAGCTGAGCACGGAGGGCGGGGGTACAGCTCGCTCTCCCCCCCCAGGAGCTGCAGGCACTGGTGCGGTGGCGGGGGGGTATGTATGGCGCCAGGATACAGCTGAGCACGGAGGGCGGGGGTACAGCTCGCTCTCCCCCCCCAGGAGCTGCAGGCACTGGTGCGGTGGCGGGGGGGTATGTATGGTGCCAGGGTACAGCTGAGCACGGGGGGCGGGGGTACAGCTCGCTCTCCCCCCCCAGGAGCTGCAGGCACTGGTGCGGTGGCGGGGGGGTATGTATGGTGCCAGGGTACAGCTGAGCACGGGGGGCGGGGGTACAGCTCGCTCTCCCCCCCCAGGAGCTGCAGGCACTGGTGCGGTGGCGAGGGGATATGAATGGCGCCAGGGTGCAGCTGAGCACGGGGGGCGGGGGTACAGCTCGCTCTCCCCCCCCCCAGGAGCTGCAGGCACTGGTGCGGTGGCGAGGGTGTATGTATGGTGCCAGGGTACAGCTGAGCACGGGGGGCGGGGGTACAGCTCGCTCTCCCCCCCAGGAGCTGCAGGCACTGGTGCGGTGGCGAGGGTGTATGTATGGCGCCAGGGTACAGCTCGCTCTCCCCCCAGGAGCTGCAGGCACTGGTGCGGTGGCGAGGGGGTATGTATGGTGCCAGGGTACAGCTGAGCACGGGGGGCGGGGGTACAGCTCGCTCTCCCCCCCAGGAGCTGCAGGCACTGGTGCGGTGGCG